GACGCTCTTGATAGTAATTACTTTAGTTATGATATAATATTATATACGTTATGATAATCTAATTTCATGTGACATCCGTTAAAATATTAATTTTGTCGGCTCAGTTTTGAATATTTTACACTTCCTTGTTTGTATACGAAGGAGGTCGATAAATAAAAAATGGCAATGGAGTAGAGACGGTCATCTAGAATAAATATTACCTACAAAACAATATTTTTCAATTCCCAGCTCGAGAGCGGGTGATTATTCAAAAAAATAACATAAAAAAATATTTAACGCGTTGTTAATTCGTGACATTGTTCAGAAAACATACTGTTGAATAAGTTAACTGTGTAAATACTGTATTTACTGATCAGTATAAGTATAAAACTTAATTAATATCAAGAAATTGACCACGTCAATTTTTGTTATTTTACTTCCTGGACTGTACATTGATACGTTTAAAAAAAACCTTTGTTTTAGGAGAAGGATGATCCGATAGTATCTAGCAATTAAATTAGGTTGGTTGATAGCTCGATCTGATGCAAACGGTAGTCAAAAGAAATGTAAAGTGTGAAATAGATATTGTTAAAGTATGGAACTTAATTATAACTAACGCTGTTATCCTCCTCTTTTACTATATGCATAATTATATAATATAATGTCTAATTGCTGTTGACCACCGGTTAGCTTAATAGGTATCGACATATCGCCTTCAGTGATCTAACCATGTCTATATAATGGTGCAATTACCTGTTCACAATCGCACCGAAGGTTGCTCGCATAGAACACATATCATGTGTTCCGTGCTCGATCACGCCACCGCGTACACTCCGCGTACACTCGAAGCAGAGCTAAGTTAAACGCTTATATCACTTCTGTTATACGACAATCGGTGCAATGGTGGATTTGTCATCTAAATTCTAGACATGCTGGGGTCTGGAGTGACAGGTTTTATCAACGGCAACCTTGAGGTCATAATTTTTGTCTCAGTAAATCAGTCTTAGGCGAATGCCTAAACGGTCTTAGATACATACTCGTACTAATAAATTAGACAGTGGATATATTGTATCACTATTCATCAAAAAACATAACAAAAACTTATTTATTAAACTATTTTTTTGTTTATAATTCAACTCTTTCGTATACCTTTCAAAATAATAACTTGCAGTTAATGGTTGCTTAAGACTATTCAATTAACTCCAACTTAATGATATAGTTCATTCAATATATTTCAAAAAAATTACATTATCGCAGACGCTATCACATGTCAGTTCGTTCATGAAGTTCTTAAAATCTTTCAAATGTCAAATTGAAAAGGTCTGTGATAGATTTTATGATTAATTAAAATGAACTGGAGAATTTTATCTTATTTTTATAATTTGCCTGTATCCATGTGAAATATTAGAAATCTGATCATATTGCCTATTTACAAGACTTCAGCGACACCTAGTTTACTTACCTTTGCCAGTTTTGACGTTTTGAAATTAAACGTGCAATTTTAGATAAAACATTAAAATCAAAACAGTACAGAGAAAAATGCATTGAATTTACCGGTAAATTTAGGTGAAATAAAGGTATTTTTTTTACTTTAAAGATTCGTAATATACGTATCTATAAGCGTCAAATGCAAAGGATATCACAACTACCCGTATAAAGCAGCTCCATTAAAAGGTCTAATATAAAAATCATAATAAATCTTATAAAGCACTAACTAATGAGCACAATGATTGATGTCACCTGCGTGCCAGCAGTTGCTTGTTACACACTGCTCCAGTTAACTTTTTGTATATTTTTCTCGTTTCCATGTAAGGCTATTGATAAATAACGCAAGCAATCGAAGGTCATCTTGGTTATTATTTTTTTATTGCAGCAGTAGCAAATCAAGCAAAGAAGTATTTAATCAAATCCACTAAGTCATATAAAAATACCTATTAAGATTGGTAAAAAAGGAATAAAAAACTTAATATACACTTACATGTCAAAGTACTAAAGTCAACATGAAGAGGAGCTCGGTGCCCAGATCTATAATTTTTTCTACACCCCAAATCTTATTTTTGCAGTGATATGCAGTGATATGAGTGGTAAGTGTAAGTTTTACGCTAACGCGTTCACTAGTGAGTGCGTTAAGAATTTGTATGGAGATTTGTAGTTCTTGGTAGTTACCGCTAGGGGTGCTGTACCGGATTCCATACTAAAATCTTAACGCGCTCACGATCGACAGTGAACGTAAACGTTAAAAAAACTTACACTAAGCGCTGTGATATTTTTCTTTATTTCATTTAAGGATATCGAAGCATGTCCAGCGCTGTGGTAGTTAAGTGCACTTTCGCAAGGGCAATAAATATCTCGAGCATCTCCGTGCTACAGGAGGCACGTTAAGATGTTGGTCCCGGCTGCCTGCACCTGCAGCCGTCAACACCCAACAGTTCACACTGGGCCCATGTGGTGACACCTGGTTCCGTTCTCCCTATTTGATTCCACCCATAGGGAAAGCATATGCCCCAATAGTGGGGGCATTAATAGGTTGGCGATAATATGACGATAATAATAATAATATTCAAAAAGCTAAAGCTCAGTTTACTATTTGCTCACACGAGACAAATCACCGATGTTCTGCTAAAGAGAATGAGTCCGTAGAGTGCCACGTATCAAAAAACATTACGCATAACAACTAATAATATTAATGTAGAGTACCATAAACACCAAACAGTATATAAATTAAGTTGTAAGTATATACAATTTGAAAAAAGAAAACCCAGAAATGAACAGTATTTGAAACTCGTCTATAATACCCGGAGGTGATGGCGAAATGTTCCAGCATTTGGTAGCCCGCTAACGGAAACTATCAATGACAGCAACTGTCTTGTGAAAGTGACTCTGGTTCTGGGACTCTGGAGTTAATGTCGAATAAGAGGCGAAAAGCAAATAATTACAGTTGCACAATCTCAATATCCCGAAATTTCTATAAAATAATTTATTTTATAATGAATTATTATTGTTATCTTTAAATTATTAAATTCAGGTCAGAGATAAGGGATCATAAGGAATAGTAATATTAATATATGTGAGCTAACTATGAGCAGATGATTCGTTATGAATATTCTGATTCTTTGTCTGCTTCTTTCATGGTCAAAACAAATGGTTTACAATATACATATAGTGTACCAGTCAATACTGCATTAACAATTACTCATGCATTTAATTTACCAAATAAAGCAGTCCAAGTGGCCGTATACATATTGATTGCCACTTTGCATAGTTACAGCTAATTTATGGTCAAAGCAATCTATTTAGGTAAACCATTGCATTCTATCACTCAACATAGAAGGCTTAAAACTTCTTTATACTTTAAGTCTTGAATAAATGGCTATATAATATAGTTATGATTAAGATGTTCACGAGACCACAATATTTCAGGCTTCATTTACATTAGAATGTGGAATTTTAAATTTGACAGTCCTCTGTAATTTTAGTTCTGCTATAAAATGTTCAAACCATGAACATTTTAGCTTTATTTTTATAATCACAGTTACTTTACTAAATAAATAACGAAAAATGATACCATATATATATCTATATACGTATATAAAAGAAGACGTCCTCACATATAGACTGACAGACAACGCAGGGCCTAAGCCGCTGGTCGCAGAAACTTGAAATTTGGAGGACATTCCTTTTCTTATGTAGAGAGGATTTTTGGAAATTCCACCCCGAAGGGTGAAAACGTTTATATGAAACTTCTTTGATTTGGACTTACATCGGTGAAAATGGTTTTGGAGTAGTTAAAGACCCTGAGAAGGAATGGAAATTTCTACGAGGAATGAAAATATTATCATATCGACCATTGTTTACTTTTTGATTTGTCATTGCAATATATCTATCTAATATTATTTATAAATATTTTATTAGATAGCGATACAAATTAGTAATCGAGTAATTTATAACAAAATAAAATATTTTTAATTTCAATCTATAAAATGTTTAAGTGCAAATCATTTTATTTCCGTAAGAAAAATTCTTTGTGTATTTTGAGCTATAATAGATGGCGTTGAATATAACTTAATGCTTGCCTTACTACATAGATGGCGTTTATTCGAAACTAAATTGTGTCAATGTTTTGTTCAAAGAATTTTCAAAAAACTTTAGATTTATTTGAGTTTTTCTTATCATCTGTATTTCAAATCGGGTAGCTTTATGTGCAGAAACATATTGGACTTTAGTCAATGTAAGTGTGTTATTAATGTTTAATAGTTATGACTTAATTTGTATGATAGTATTTTGTATTTCAAAATAGCTTAATATAATTTCAAACATCTGTTTGACACCAGTTGTTATCTATCAGGGCTATTATGTAGGCTATGTACCTTTTTTTCCCATATAAACAAAATTAAACGTATTGTTGTTGCTGTGCAAACAAAACTTCGAAGTTGAACAATTAAAATAATTAAAATTAATAATTGTGTTTCGTATCGTGATCCTTGACAGTTAACCATTTCCCTGGGCTTTGTGCAGACGCACTGTGGAAGGACGTTGTGAAGATGGTTCAGCTGATCGACGTTTTGCCGTGCAAAGAAATGCCACCTGATTGCACGGATGTTTTACCAAATTGGCTATGGCATATACATTATATATTAACCTCAATGTTTTTTTTCATTAGTTAAAATCTCAGCTGTGAGTTTAAAACTAAAGATAAGGGTTTAAATATGAAAAAAAAGTTTGTATGCAAGTTAATCATGACATTTGACATTCCGGTACTGTACACCATTTAATGAAGATATATTTGATTTAGCGTCTTTAAAATGCTGCCCAAAGTAACTATACCATGCGGACGAAGTCGCAGGTAAAAACTATTCTATTATAGAATGAAGAAATATTGAAATTATAATTATAATAATGCAAATTATAATTTCATTATTGTGTTTTAACTGTCACAAATAACTGGTCTATACTGTATGTAGACACGACGCTATTCCAAAAATTGAGTTGTGGAGGTTTCGAAATAAAACAAACGACCATTTGCTTAACAAATGTTAACATATAATTTGTTTTTTATAGACTTTATACAAAATATACACAAATATCACCGACATGTGACGCGAACGCTAATGCATTTGATGCAGGCAGCCGCCGATCTAACTTACAACAAATCTGTTTTTTTTTTCATCACAAAAATATAATCCAAAACGCGTCCTCAGATTATATTTAGGTAAGATTTTTTCTTTTCCTATAAATGCATTTAGTTTATATTTAAGGTACTTATGCACTTTTTGCCTTTGTTTAAGGCAGAAAATATTAGTTTTTTTGTCAATTATGCTAATATTAAATAAGTATGTAAGTATACTTTTATGAACTATTTCTTATCACAATTGGGCATTGCACATTGTCAGACTGTGACAATTTTAATAAAAAATTAATCGTTTTATATTTCTACAGTTAGAAATATTACAAGCTTCACATCCTACCGCTAAATATTATACACTAATTTGTATATAACGGCTATTAAAATACTATAAAAAAATCATTAATTACACAGCGATTTAATATATATAATTTGCAAATTTTACTTGGTGATCATTGATACTAAATTATTATTTATATTTTAATGATTAATTCAATAACATTCTTGAATGGTATTATTGAAATATTTCATTGAACTCTGTGGAATTTTCAAATATGATTTGAACAATAAAATTTATAACAAAGTCATTTATACAAGCCTTTACAGTACAGTATATTATAGTACCATTACATATAAAAGACATAGATGAGTCTCAACTATCAAGTACACTGGTACAACTATGGTATGATGACTATCATACAATTATCTGACGACTAGGGTGCTTTCGTTTGTATGGAAGACATTATTACAATTGCGATTGCGTTTCCTATTGTAACAGTAGAACCAGCTGAAATTAAACTCAACAACGAACATTTAGAGGTAGTAAGTTCAACAAAATTTTTGGGCATAAAACTAGACTCAAAACTGTCAACTTAGCTCGGCTGCATATGCCATACGAAAAATAAGACAAATCTCTGATGTAGGAACTGCCCGGACAGTGTACTTTAGTTATTTACACAGTATCATGTCTTATGGTATTATATTGTGGGGAACGGCAGCCGATATTCAGTCTATATATTTATATAGACTGAATATCGACTGAATATATAAATAGCAATAATAGCTATCTATCAATTAGGCTCACGAACATCTCTCAGAGAAAAAAATTATGAAATGGAATATTGATTTGTTAATGAGTATGTACGACTCGGCAACTGGCATATTGATCACAAATCGAAATTATTTGTCTTGTTATTTCTGATATTGTAATGGTATGTGACTTCATAGCTTAATTTAGTCACTTTCTAACGAGACTTGTCTGTGTGAAATAAAACAGGGAGAAAAAGCAGCCCTTGCTGAGTTTCTTGCCGGTTCTTCTTAGTACAAGGCCTCCCGCCGTAGTTTTGCGAACCGTTGGCGTAGCTTTCGACTTTCACAAGTACTATGTAACTGAATAAACGATTTTGATTTGATTTGCGTTTTTAGCAGAGTTGTATAATGTAATAATAGTATTATTGTGGTATATGTAGTGAATAAATAATAAATAACCTATAATATTTTTAAGCACCAAGTACCTACCTTACACAACTCTAATAAAAATGCAATTAAATTTTCTTCGTGTTAAGGCAAAAGTAACGTTTTTTTAACATTTGAAATTCTGATTTATTGATAATATTGGTGTATAAAGAAACAAAAAAATATTGAACTATATTATGGTTGTTTTGATTTCGATGTCTGCAACCGGTTTATTATATTGAAGCAAGCGTTCCCTCTTAAATGGAAGGACATTTAAGTTAAATCCATGCATTTGACATTTTTACACTTTCCCTAATCAAAGTCATAATAAAGCTGAAAAAGACTATGCTGCACCTGAAAACATATAATGTGTTGAATAACGTGTATGTTACCATCTTTGCTTTATATTTCTTGAAGGCGTTTTCAAACCATAGCAATATGTAAAATATTGCCTTTACATTTGAGTAGGAGATTTTAACGTTACTTTTAACTTATACTATCGGGAAATCATGATCTAACATCGGCAGAGGTCCGCCTCTGCTCGGTGGTGACTGTGATGACTGCGGGTGGGGGCGCTGTGCTTGATGCTGTGGCGTTAGGCTCCGCACTGGACGTGCTCTGTGATGATAACGCGTGTGTGATTGGTTGTGTTATCGGCTGTGACTGGTAGCCGGGATAGTGGACACCCACTACTTCTTCGTAACTCGGTGGAGCCATCGCTTCTGCAATATAAACACAATTGCAGTTAGCATATGGAATACCGACGGTGAACATCTATAATATGGTTTCAGCCTACGCTGATGCGTAATAGTGATTTTTTGTCACCGTAACTTGGTATTTTGGTCAACGTGCTCTGTCTCTTGTATAGAAAAACCAATTTGTCACGTGTTCAAGTGCGCACTCCACATGACAAGCAATCTGGCTTATATAAAGTCACCAGAATGCGCATAGTCTTTGATGGCATGTCTACAGATATATATCCGAAATCCTGAGTCTGACTTATAATATTTATATATATTTATTATGTACATACTTAAGTGTTACAAATTTCTTTGGTAGAAATGCTTTAACTCATTTTGATATAAGGCAAACAAATGTTTTATCGTTGACGATTCATATGCTTGGACGGATTTAAAGTTTTTATTGAAAGCAGCATTATTTTAAAAACCCGTAATACGACGAAATAACGAGTACGAGTCAGTATCAGGTCCTATCACCGGCCATTATAAATTTTTGAAAACGCTTTGTTCAGATGAAATTTCTTTTTTGGAGAAATAGGAATTCAGGTCGAGTCAATTCAAAAAATATTTTTTTCATTATCATCTCGAGTCTGGAGTACCTTAGTTGTTTGTTTAAGAATACTTCTAATTGCGAAGGCTTCAGTTATTTATCTTGGAATCGGAGTAATGTATGTGATATTGTCTAATATTTTAAACACATTATAACAAAATAACCAATAGGGCCAAAGAAGACTTTCCAATCAATAATAGCTTCATAAATCTAACTATTGTTAGAGTACCCCACTGAAAGCAAACTGAAATAATAATCGTCTGGCAGCCGTACTCACCATATTTGGGTGGGGGCGACAGGTTGGCGGGGCTCACATAGATGGAAGGTTCCTGGACTGAGAGCTGCCGCGTCCGTGCTCCCACACACACTCGTCTCTGTTGCGAGCTGCGCGTCTTCTGCCCTGGAAACGAAAATGCAAAAAATTTAATATAATTACATCAATATCTATACACCTAATACTAGAGATCTAAAATAGGAGGTCAATACATTTATTTTTGGGGATAAATTACAAAATCACGTTAAGAAATATTCAGTTCTAGCTTGAAGAGATCAATAATTGTGTAAGTATTTAACTTTAACTAATCTCTTCATAATTTACAATTTAGTTTAAATTATGTAAATAAATGGTGACTTTACTACTATCTACAAAATGATATCCAACTAAGATTCTGTGGTGTTTGCCTTATTTACAAAAGACATTCATGATCTTTTGTGGCAACGTCATTAGACGCTTGAATACAAAAAACACTTAGACAATAAATAATTATTCTAATGTGTTATACTTTGCTTAAAACATATCATATTACCAATTGCTATGGGACTACGTGGGCAAATCAAAAACTCCCAATGAAACTTTGTGATCCACGCCCTTGATATAATATTGAAAATATTGTGGAGTTTTCATATGGTAAATCTGACTTTATCCACAGAACTATTATGTCGTAATATTAGTTTTACAGCTATTTGAGCTAACATTATTAAACGGAACACCAAGGAAATTCACCTGAACAGGTTTCGGTTATCTATTATAACATTCTAGTAAAATAAAGTATCTTTTGTTTTTCATGATGGTTTCATATCTTTCCGCTGATTAGACATATTATGAGTAATGATTGTGACGTAAACTAACCAAATAATACAAATTATATCTAAATAACAGTAGATATAATTTTTATAGAATATCAACAGTGTCACTGGAAATATCTTGGGAATTTCCAAAAGAACCTATACTTATATTAGAATTTTAATTAATAATTATGTAGGACGTAACATTATATTTTAAGGGTCATTTTGCTCTTTATCAGAAAAACACGTCATTCACGGTAAAACGCGTAATATCATTTTTCAAATTGAATCCGAATCCAACTCCGAAATAGTCACGACTATAAAACCTATCACAATGTGGAAACTAAAATCCTTTAATGAACAATTCGAACGCATATTCCAGTACAGTCGACGCTTATTCGGGCTGTTTATATCACTCCTAAATTATCAATTTTACTTTTCAGTTTCACTTTGCTATTTTATCAATATTTCAACTGAAATTCTTTGGATAAGAATGATAATAACTGATAATACAGTCATATGATCGAAAATAAAATGTTCTCACTTAGTGCTATCATCCTCAGACAGAAAAACACGAGGAGCCAAGTGAACAGCATCACGATCAACACCACCATATACCAGAAAGCCATGTGCGTCAGCTCGTCAGAGCTCTGGTTTTTGTTTTTCGTATCCTCAGAGCTACCATTAATATCACTATAAGAATAATCTTCATCGAAATCATAGTTCGGCTGACCGAATATCGGTGATCTCGGTAAAATCATCTTTACAAATATTTCATTTAAATCTTCAAATGTTTGATCTATACTACTCGTTCGTAGCTTATTTATACAAGCCGCGCGAGTGTTTTGTTTCCGATCACTCCCTACAATTTGTTTAACACAAATTATAAGAGTGACATTCAACTTCACTGACTACAATTTTATTTACACTTCACTGGGTTCGAGCACATCAAAGTTTTAATCACACACACAAAATGCATTATTTGTTTTAAGTATAAATGATGTTGTGGTTGTTCTCCGACGCAAGCTTTACGTCCGATTGTTCGATTTTTTCGGTGTTTATCATCGTTTATCTGCATCTCGTCACTATAACGTCAAAATTATCAAAGATTCATCTTGTTGAGCAATCTTTAGTACTTCAAATGTATTTGAAATATTATTGGTTCTATATTTTGTGTCACGTTAATATTGGTCAAACATTTATTTATTGTGTAATTGCTTCCCAATTTGTAGGTATTATTAACAATAAATAATATAAATGCGACTACCATCATTTTCATTGAAATGTAAAATTACTGCTCCCTGGCATAAAAATTGAAGTTTTGACGAAGACGCCTTTGTTAGTCGAGAATGAATATGTATATACTGCAACTTGAATGTGTTTTAAAATAAATATCAACAAAACAGATAGACAAATAATGTAATCACCAGTCTATTTATGTCCCCACTAGTGGGACATACGCCATCCTTATACATGGAATCGAATAGTGAGAATGGGCTACCACCCACTTGGGCCCCTTTGGGAAATGTTGCGTTAACACTTACGAAGCACGGAGGTACTCTAGATAATGAATTCTTGGTCACTATGGCCGGTCCTATATCATCATCAAATTTGAAAATCAATTAAACAAAAATAATCTGGAAATTAAAATTTCAAGTTATGATAATTTAATTTTAGATTAGATAATTACATTATTTTTGTCCATTTCTTCATCATTAGACGTTTTATCAATAATTATAATGAGATCAATAATTTACACAAGTGCAAATGTTTAAATTTTATGAACAAATTTTTAAGCTATAAAAACAATACATTAAGTTGATGTTTCTAGTCTTTACACTTAATATCTGGATAGGTAAATAATAATATCAATAAAAAACAATTGTCATCAATTCAATAAAGAGTTTAGTTTATGATTTTTTCCATGGAAATATGGTAAAGTTGGAAGAGAAGTTTTCTGTATTTGTCACTCGTATGTGACGGTTACGATATGATGGATTATGACGTCATACGCAATAGATAAGTTTCCTGCTGATGAAAGTACCATACGAGAACGAGATTCCATAATTCCCTCTCACAAAGATCATAAAAATATAATAATTACCCCAACTACTCATCTTGATGCATAAAATCATAAACGACATTATCAAAATGGTCGTGAAAATTGATATGTAAACCAACACGGGCCCGGACACTCCGCTGCTCGCTGATTTCTCAACCTCAACTTGAGGAGCCATGAAATCCACTTCGATAACACTATTTATTTCCAAACAGGTCGAAGAATGGTTGGTTTCAGAATTTAGATCACACTAACATTTGTTTTGTACAAGTGTAAAGGTGACCACACTGTTCCACACACACCACAATTAACTTAAACAAGAGTAAGAGCCGATTACCAGGCCTTTACATTTGTAATTTTTTTAAGAGCACTGTACATGTTTGCCGTACAAACTTAGGTCTTCTGAGATGACGGATGTTAAATAAAGAAAAAAAAATGAATCGATAAGATTGGCGTTTGTTAAACGAGCTAAAATAGTTATTATATATATTTAGATAGAAGCTACCTCATGTTCTTCATTGTCATTTATCTCAAGAGTGATCTATCAAGGTGACAAAGAAAGATTTATATTTATGTGAATATTTTTGGTCTGATATTAAGCCACAAAATAAACTACTAATATATACTTTACGATTAAAATAATTAGTCTATTTAATAAACGGATCAGCGTTTAAGCTGATAAGAGTTTCAATTTGAAAAAAGAAATTGTAATAATCAGAAAAAGTCGAGGAAGAGAATTACTTGTGACCCTGAGCCCTCGGCGCTCCTCTCCTCTACCCTACAAGGGATGCAGAATCAAATAAGACATAACAATATCATGGTTATCACCACGTCACAGGAACACGGCGAAAATAATAAATCATACTTGTACTGCAAGTAATGTGAAAGTTTGTGAGAATGTATGTATGTTTGTTACTATTTCGCTGAAGAACTATTTTACGGCTTTTGGCAAAGTTTGGTAGATGGGTAATATCTAAAACAAAATTAACATACGAGTATAGGCCATGAAACGTTTCGCTAAGGATAAAATATACTGAGTTCTTATATTTTCACGCGCACTATTCTTAAATAGAACAACTCTCAACATATGTGAACACTGTAAAGGGTCCGAAATGTCTGAAACTAAATACAAACGAAATGAAACCGTTTAACAATTGTTTCATTTATGAAATGTACTGTTAAGCCATCAAGTAAATCACGCGACGAAGCCGCCGGCAAAAAGCTAGTCTTATTATATGTATGTATGTACGTCAATACTAGTAGGTATGTGTGCTTGAAGCGCTTGGTTGCTTCTTTGTCATTCTATTATAAACTTGAAGTAACTCAAGACTTTGTCATAAAACCCATAAGAACTTCTACTTTTCCTACCTATCGTCTAGAGATAAATAATTAATTTAGATATCACTGGCTTACACTTACTTAATGCGCGGAACATCACAACACAAATAACCAAAGTTAATATTATAATCCAGAAATAAAATCCAGGCGATGGACTGAAATACGACATTTTGATAAAACAAAGCTTTTTTCGTTTTTTACATATAGTGTTTGATGCGAAAATCAAACTAAAACTGTCTATAATTCCTTATTTACCGACTTGTATCGATAATGAGGTTCACATAATCTTATCGTTCGTTTTTGATAGTGTTAATTAATACTTTATAATGCTATTTTGTACTCTTTTTGTTATCAAAATTTTGCTTTAGCGTATTTTGCAAACATTTTGTGATTACGCGAAAATAGAGACTCTTATTATCGCAAATTTTCTGCGATTTATATAACAATTATTGATATGCAATATATAAAGCGTTACGAATTACAGTGTACCTACATATGTTTCATATTATTTTTATTAATAATAACGTGAATCTTAATATGACCGCTTACATACGTACGTACCTCTACCTTATCCTTGTAAGTCATACACAGTTAAGTGATTCCTCAGAGCGTCGTTAGTGTTTCTCCCCTTTTATTTCCTAAGTAAAGAACTATATTCAATGAGTAACGGATGACAGTGTAAATGACGTCTCATATTCGCAATACAAAGCATGTTATACACTAATGACGGTAAATTCCATGTACTTTGTTAATTTTTGAAAATATTAATTAACTTACGTGCGAGCATCACTATAGATATAAAATGATCGTGTGGTGATAAACAGTTTAAAGATAGATTTATTAAATTATCTTTAGTTTGAGTGTAAGACAAAAAGAAAACAAGAAGAAACCAATTTGCACGTCATTGAGATAGATAAAGACAGAGGATGTCGTATTGC